TTCTGTTCACCTCATTTTTTGTTCTCTCCTCCATACCTATTGTTTGTTTGTCCTAACTATTTATATTCCACCCCTTTTTCAATGTTTTTGTTTTCTTTTCATAGGGCATAGCAATCATTTTGTCGTGGGTGTACTTCATCATGTATTTGGTTTAATCTTTGTAGGTTTTAAGACCAACTTTGCTTACTGTAGGCTTATGTTCCAAGTATGAACGTTTGGAAGAAATTAATGGCAATGATGTCAATGCTTATTTGTTGGACCGACTCGTGCTAGAGCTAAATTTTGTACATTTTCCAGACTAGTTAAAATAACAGAAATGAAAATAATACGCTATGGACTTATTTGCTAGCTCAGATTTTTAAATAGTTTTTTTGGGGGGTGGGGGGGGGGGGGTGGGGGGGAGGGTGGGGGTGGGGTGCAATTTGAGATACACAATGCAGATAAACAATACATGTTTGTAGGAGTACTATGGAGGCCTATATACGTATTATGAGTGCGCACTTTACAAACTACCGTGTGTTAAGCAAGTTTACAAGGGGTGCGGGTGTGTCGGCATACAAGGTATTACGTTTGCCAATCTAAAGCTAATGTGAATTTATCACTCTATAAAAAACCGGTAATGACACGAAAACTGATAGCACGCTTTATTGGGCTCTACAATCATTTATGGATATTGTGCGGACGGGTATAATAGAAAAAACCGCGGCGCCGTACGAATGCATAAATCATAGTCCACAGATCTATTGTTTTATGAGCTTCCCACAGCTGTTGCTCGCCACTCAATGGCCACGTTTGAAAGGGTTGTGGGGGAGGGGGTATACCATCATAAATAATATTCATTGTTGTTTGTCTTTTGTTCCGATTATTGTCCAACTGACAGCTTTTACCGAGTTCAAATTTCCGTTTTAGTCTCCCCACCCCCACGCCCCCTCACACGCCCCTAATCCCCCCTGCACGAGAAAAAAGACCAACAAAAATCAGCTGATCGGAATAACTCCTTCTGTTTCTGCTGCGAGTTGTGACCGTTTTGAGTAACCTCCCGTGGGGGAAATCTCAGCTCTTTCTTGGAGGAGTATAGAAATCTCAACCTTTGATGCACTTCCTCATCTGGGCCTGTGACTGTACACACAAACTGTGGCCTCAATCCAAACCCCCTACTTTGCTCAATCGCCAACCACTGCTATCTCACACTGTGATGCTATAATTAGACTAGCTTTCATTGAATCACTCGACTTGGAATCTCTGTTTTTATACCAGGTAAAGAATCCGAGCAAAAGGTAATCCTCTGTTGAACAGATGTGAAGTAACGGAACTTGATAATTAATAACAGCGTATTCCTTAAAACTAAAAACAAGTGTCCAGTCACCAAGGCAAGCAATCCAAGCCGAACACGGAAAAGGACCAACTAGAATCTAGATCTATTTCTCAGTTGGCGTAATCGTGGCATTTGGGCCTTGGGTTTGGTTACCAATAAGCCCCACCCAGTGTCATAAGGTCTCTGAACTAGGCTACTAACTGTACTGTAGGTCTTTTACCGTGGACTGTATGATGTGAGGATTGAATTCAAGTAGAGTATAGAGTTTAGTCCTAGAGATCTTAGATCTAGATATATAGATTCTAGTCAAGAAAAAGAATGAATGGGAAATAAAAAATTCCAAACTCTAGACTAGAATCTAGATTATCTAGATCTAGATCTAGATTCTAGATCCTCACCCTCTTTGATGTATTGTGTAATGAACTGGACTGGATTCAATTTTGGTGGACCCACTGTGTTTAGGCCTACATGTTATATTAATGCGTGGCGTACTAGCTATAACAGCAGTGGGGGGTTTTAGGGGGGCTTTCCCCCCTGGTAACAAAAATAGTGCTAATAATTTTTTTTAAACGCCCATAAATATGCAAAACAATAACAACATGCGTAAAAGCGGACCATTGCACAGCTTGACTCAAAAGTAGTTCCGGATTTGTTAAATTTATCATTTATAATTTAAAAAAGGAAATGGCTATCCTCACCCGGGGTGAGAATAAAAATTACGATCGACATCTCACCCCGGGTGAGACTTGCCAGCATTGGCTATTCTCACTCGGTGTGAAACAAGACCTCTATTTTTCCTAATTTCGGAATCTGTTTATCAGTGTGGATGTTCAAATTGACAAAGCAAAGAAAAAATGACGTTATAGCACAAAATTAAGCTAATTTGGTCGTCTACAAAGATGCTATGGCTATTTCACTTTTCGAATGGAGCCGAACTTCGCAGGTCGCCATTTTGTTTTGCCCGGAAGTTCTCGCGCTACTCCTCTCTCTCTGTCTCTCTCTCTGTCTCTCTCTCTCTCTCTCTCTCTCTCTCTCTCTCTCTCTCTCTCTCTCTCTCTCTCTCTCTCTCTCTCTCTCTCTATCTACTATCTCTCTCTCTCTTTCTCCCCCCCCCCCTCTCTCTTTCTTTCTCACTGTCCACAGACAAAATTGCACGCTTTCAGCCCAAGAGCACTCGAACGTTCGTTCTCGGTGAACGCTACACTGGTCAGCCTAGGCTATCATAGTGAACGCACACTGGGTGAGAATAGCCCAAAAAGCGCGCCTGCACTATTTTCACTCGGGGTGAGAATAGAGGTGGCTTAAAAAAAAACACACGCACAATAATATAGAGTAGACCATTGCACAGCGAAGCTCAAAAGTTGTTCTGGCTTCGTTCAGTGTTGAGTCCACCAAAGTTCAATCTAACAATGAACTGTGTTTAGCATATTTTTTCAGACAGGAAGATACATTCTTATTGTTCAAAGTTGTAAGTTATTTGATGGTTGTTGGCTCCTCCCCGTCCATGTTGTTGGCTCTCCATCTGACACTCACGACTTGTTTTTACAACTTGAAATGTGGACACCGAGGCCTTGTTTGAACATTTTCAAAACGTTTGGTTATAAGGGGTGCCCATTACGGCTGGATCAGGCCGATCGTCTGCGACAGAGTTAGGGGATCAGCCCAATCCGCGGATCCCATCTGTAGTTGGCACCCCGTATAAGGTTCTCACACTATACAGTCAAACATGCTCTAGCGATCACCTGTCCGATCCAATCACATCCTGTACAAATGACCACTTCCCTCCTCTCCCCTTGTGTTTTTTTGTCTATATATTTCAATGGGGACGAATTCTGAAACGAGTGATGACTATGAAATAGATAGAGAGGGTTAGGGTTAAGGTTTGGGTTATGGATAGTAGGGTTAGGGTTAGGTCCCCATTTTTTGTGTTTGTTAGTGTTGTCGCTCGTTATGGAAGTCCTTCTTTGCAATGAAACTGTTCAAGACATCCATCCAACATTCTTGGAGGATTCTTTTCATATTGGCAATGGGTGGTTGTCTTTGACAATTTCGACTGTAGGCCCTATAGATCTGCATATGATAGGCCCATGTAGTGATTATTTGCTTATATATATATATATATATATATATATATATATATATATATATATATATCTTTATCCTATTTTTCCACTTTATCATCTCAATTTTTTTAGGTTTTAAATTTGCTGAGTTTTTTTTATACAATAAGCAGACCTAACACAGTGCTTTGTTGTGATTGACTCTTTCTGGAAGAAGTTTTGTTTAAAAAGTCGAGACGTAATAATTAATTTCAGACTTGATTTGGCTATCAATGTGATGTACAAAATAACTTCATAAGCATAGACATCACTCAAAAAGTTACATATATATATGTGATTTATCAATTTGAAGGAAATTGATTTCGAATGTTCAGACATAAAGCAAGGATTAATTCAAACATATGTTGTTGTTGTTGTTGTTTTCAAATCCCAATTCAAACATAAATATACATAATATAAGAATGCATATAAAACAAGGATTAGAATTAGAATAGGTGATGATGATAAGAAAAATACATTTTGACAGAAAAAAATGCTCTCACCAAACATGTCAAAGCAAATCAGCATAGCTTTATTATTAGATACACAGCCATATGATACCTGATGAGCATAATCCACACATTACTGAATGCACCATTTTTTATTTGAAAGAAATATTATATTCCAATTTTAGTTTGAGTTATATTTCTGCTGAGTCCGGTTACATCGTTACCTTGATGCAAGAGTGAATTCCCTCATTTATCACCAAACTGACGCTTTGATAAAGTGAAACTGGATGTTATTGTGTCCTTTCTAAGTTTTCTTGTAGCAATAATCAATTTAATAAGTCCTCATAAATGACGGATCTTGTTATAACGAAACAAAACTGAGGTACTCTGTCATTGACGATATGTCGGAGAGAGTTAAGTTTTGTTTTTCTTGTTCTTTCTACTGCCGATTTGTTGCCTGTGGGTGGTTGGAGGATGCTCTGGTCTGGTTTGCTCCTTTTTTTTAGGTATCAAACACACTTCTAATCTTTGGCACTTATTGACCTTTTATAATGTATTGTGTGGCAAGTGCCATAAGTTCACCTCCTTTCCTGCTCTCTAGCAATATTCTCTAGTCTGCTTTCGACTCCTCTTTCTGCCCCTCCCCCCTTACCTCCTATACCCCCTCCTCTGGGCTTCTGAATCTTTCTGCAGCCTCTCCACTGCTTCTCCTTTGCTCATTCTTACTGCTGTCTTTCAGCCACACCCCTGATCTTCTGGTAGGAAAGATCTACCCCTAGACTTCTCGGACAAGGGCGAAAAATCTTGGAGGTATCGTGTGCAAGTTGCGCACGTAAAAAATCCCTTAGTGGTCCAAAATCGATAAGAGTAAGCTTTGGCTGCCACTTGGGCGAAATTCAAAATTTCCTACCAACTGAAAATGTCAGGTGTGTCCCGCATGCTCATATGACCTTATGCACTTGCGAGCGGTGTAAAACACTTCCCCCCCCCCCCCCCCCCAAAAAAAAGAAGCTAAGACTTGTTTCCTTCTGTAAATGTTGTGACTACTTAGAAGCGTACTGATTTTTTGTGTGTTTTGGTCATCACGTAATGTAGTAGTAACGGTTTGTACTTAAAATTTTCTCTTGTTTGTGCCAGGTAAACCACGTTTTCTCACCTGGGAGAGGATCATGGCAGCGGCCAGATTTACAGTGACCAAAGCCACGGACGAGGAGGAGCAGCCAATCACAGACTCGTCAGGAGGTTACGGGTCGGTGCCAGCGAGTGGCAGCGTCCAGGTGTTACGTTCAGGTAGGTGGCCAAGCGTTCTGTGTTGTGTTCAGTGCATGATGTATATTTCTCATGCTGCTGTTGTTCAGTGAGCATTTGTGGGCATTTTGTTTGCTAACTTAAAGCAGTGTAATGATAATATTGATGGTGTTCTTCCATGAAATGAGCCGTCAGTGGAAAAGATTATTGTTTAGAAAGAAGGAGAAAAAATCTTGAATTCCATCTCTTTTTGGTAAAATTCGAGAGAATGCCTCTCACTTGATCCAATATGCATATCAAGGGGCCACAACTCTCCATTCGTAACGTTTTGGGTTGCTCAAATAAGTCTCTCCCTCGTTAGTTACCAAGGTCATTTCTTACGCTATTAATCAAAATGGTTTTTGATCAAACTGTGTAATGTTGCTCTTAATTGTGCAGTGATTTTGCGCTCTTTGGACCAATCCGAGGGTTTCAGGGGGATGCCCCTCCTCCCCCCTTAGGTGAAAAAGTATATAAAAGGTTTCAGGTAGACATGTCCCCCCTGCACTAACATTTCTATATATCTTACGCCTTTTACTGTTTAACAGGTGTTTTTGTTGTTGTTGAAATAACAGATTTCTCCTTTTAGTATTTTAAAATGAAGTTCTTTTTGAATAGATATTTGGAATATTTTTAGTACCATTTGCAGTTTAACAGTTTTTCTTTTAGATATTGGATTTCTTCTCTGAGTGCTATAAAATGAAGTTGTTTTTAAATGGATATTGAGAGGTGTGACCAGACACTCTCCTGTATTTATCGTCTGTAGCTTGCAAGGAAACATCCTCAAGAGGTGAACACCATGTTTTGTGTCAGTTCAGTCGGTGTCTTTTTTCCCCTCGTCTCTTCCATTTTAGTGGAAATAGATTTTTAAAATGTTTTTCTGCACACGAGTAACATTATGGTCACAGATTTTGTCTTATTACATTGTTTGTATTGTTTTAAGCGTTGTTTTTTTTGTTTTGTTTTTCGATAAATGTTTTGTCCGCAGTAATTTTACCCATGGATGTTCCTGACTAAAATTGTCTCCAGCATGTTTTGTGGTAATTAACCCTTGTCAGTTTGAAGTTGTACTTTTACCTTCTATCTCATGGAATCTTTCTTCTAATCTGGACTTGGTGGAAAAACCTTTCTGCTTGTTGGCTCTGGTTTTATCAACTTGCAAGCTGATGACTGATCTGTTTTAGACAATGATTAGCGATAATTTTATATCCTACATATAAATGTTGAGACTTTTTGTTCGAAATACATATTTTTCCCATAGGACTTCTGTTCATGTACTTGTTTGGAAAGCTCCCCCAACATTTCAGAAAAGTTCTGTTGTTGTTGCGTAGAAGCTATCACGTAGTTTGTGCTGTTTGTTGTTTCTGATTCATCTGTGCTGTCATGTGCTACATGTGGTAATTAGCAAGGTTTGAACATGCGCTCCTGATGATCTTTTTCTCTTATGGCGAGACTAACGACTTCCTTCACAGAGTCTGGGTATCAGAACGAAGATTCTCACAATATTATTGTGAGAGAAGAAGAAGAGGAAGAAGAAGCAGTAAATGCAGATAAATCAGAAGGTAACAGAAGTGGGTGGCTGAGAGCTGTGCTGGGTGTTGTGTGCCATCATTGGGTGCTGGGAAACTTTCTCTCCCCCTGCGAGGGCCTTGCGCTTTCCTTCTGTTTGGTGGAATGTTTTTGCTCGCTGCATTGACTGAGACTTTGTCCTTTTCAGGCCAGGCTGTATGATTGGCTAGATGTTTGGGATTGTTTTTTTTCCTGTCCTGGTTATGTTATTTTCCCATATTTGGCTGCTATGTCTTTTCAAACTTAATTTCACCCCC